TACATGACTGTGGACGCGGTTTTCCCTCCAAATTCCAGAAACTGCACGGGAAACACGAGCGTGCCATCCGTCATTCTCGTGATGGGAGTGCTGGCATCGTTGAGGAAGCCAATCAATTCGTCGGATTCATAGGGATAAGGAGGGCGAATGCTCATAGAGAAGGAACTCATCGAAAAACCTCCGCTTCGTCCAGGCCCCGACTCCAGAAAATGGATAACAGACTCCAACCCACTTCCCCCCCACTCATCGGCAAAACGAATCATGGCCCCAGTCCGTAAGTCGTAGCCCTCCACAAATGCAAAAAGCGGTTCGAAGGGTCCAAAAGACGACGGAAACGGCAACCAGTAAGGGCTTGCAGCAAAAGCGTCACGATCTTCTGGTCCCGCGTACGACTGCCACGTCCTCCCATCATCAACGCTGATCTGTGCCATCAACTGCATGGACGCACTCCCGCTCCCCACAGATCCATTGAACTGAGCTCCAACAATGGCCAGGAGCATCCAGCCCAAATTCACAAGATGGGGATTGCGGAAAATGTGGCCAGCGGCCGCTGTGTTTGCGACTGGATACTCCCTTGGCGACCGCTTCAAAATGTGTCTTCCATAGGAATCGCCCACTCTCGTTCCATAGTTTTGGGCCTGCACTGACCCAGCGGCGCCGCACATCATCACGAAAAGGAGGAGCAGCAGCACCGCGGAAGCAAACACACGCCGGGACATGTTGGGCCTCTGCGACTCACTCTCTCTTCCTTCCCTCCTCCTTCCGCTGGATCCGGTCACGCGGCGACGGTTGTGTGTGCGGGTTGCCATTACAGCAGCAACACGTGAGAGCATATATGTGTGTGTGCTGTTGGTCCTTTCAGTGCCTTACAATTTCACAGTAGCGATTGGCGTTTGGTAGTAACTTCCTTCTTCATAAGGAGCAACAGACAACAGCGGAAGAAAGGCAGCACAACAGCAGTACACACCGCCACCACTCAAAGCGAACCACAACATCACCATCCAATCAGTCAATATTCTACAGTACCCCTCAACAGCACGCACACAGAAATTAAGAAAAAAAGTGAGCAGCCTCCCAATGGGAGACCGCAGGCCATGGCGCTGCAAATAAGGCAAGCGACGGGGAGCCACGTGTGCAGCGAGGAAAAAGAGAGTTGCACTGCAACGGCACGGCGACGTTATGCCCCGTTGGGAGCATCCATGCAGACCAGCACATCGCCTGCACGAAGAGTTGCTTCTCCCGCTGAGCAAAAAGGAAAAACGGCCTCAGCAGCCCCAATGATGAGAGGTCGCCTGCACCTCCTCGCAGCACTTGCAGGCTCTGCAGGCAAAAGGTTGCAGATGACGCTCTGCTGCACGCATGACGGCCGTCGCACCCTTCACAATGGCAATTGCATCCTGTGGCACCACACGCCGCAGTCGATGCGCACAGTCTCCGTCTCCCTCCCTCCTGTCCCTCTCCCTGAGAACTCATCGGTGGCCGTGGCACACTCACCGACATGTCAGAAAGCACTTGTTTTTCTTCCCTCGCATTTCGCACAGCAGCACCGCCAACCTCATTTTATCTCCCTTTATTTTACGTACCCTCTTCCGTCAAAGCTTCCGATACTGCCGTCCGCCCACCTCCGTTCATGTCGTCTCCCCTTCGGGTGCTCGCACCACCCTCACGGTCGTTTTTATTGTTATCGTCTGGCCGCATTACGCTTCCATCAGCACCATTGGGAATGAATCCTCGCATGAATGAAAATTGTTGTCGCAGAGCGTTGTCGCCCTCCTAATCAAAGGGAAAAAACAACGGATAAACGCCCGCAAAAAAAAAATGCATGACAGTCTTTCCCTACGAATGTGTGCACCCAAACTCATTACATCCGTTCCCCCTCGTCAGTTTTTTTTTTTTTCTCTTACCAGTCGTAGTAAATACACCTCAATTGTGCAGCTCTGGTAAGCGTACGAAGGAATTCAGTGGCAAGGATAACCTTACTCTGCGGGCAGCCACTATAGAATGGCTCCAACATCTGCCCTTCCGACCCGTAAAACTAAGTAACAACTACTCATCGGGTTTGAAGCATGAACAGCAGGCGCTTAGCTTCCTCTCTAGTAAGAGTACTAGTCCCTGGCACCACGTTGAGGTGGCCGGCTGAGCCAGGGCCCCTCGTCAGTCATCCATGCCCACAGCACCGCGAAGCCACGTTTTCACCCGTGATCCCGGAAAGAAATGCCGTTTCCCTCACCACCATCACATCCACACGGGTGCGCAGTTGCCGCTCGCACGTACCCTCTTCCACATAAACAAAGTCAATCCACAAACGATAAAATAAAAAAGCAGCGCGATGCGTTGACAGATTCCTTCCCTTCCGTCTGTTTCGTGATGAATCCCCGCCTCCTTGCTTATGTATTTCTGTCTTCTCTTTTTGTCACCCACACAAATAAAATGCTCAAACAAAGTCCTGAAACCCTTTTATATGTCACCGACACCTGCTCTGCGCCCTTGTGTCGCGTCAATAAAAGACCGTCATTCACAAATGCACCCCGATGTTCAAAAGGAATACCCGCACCCCGATAATCCTTCAACAGGGTATTAAGAGCCAGCTCAGAAACATGCACCACCAATACAGTCATAAAGCCCGTAATGAAAAGTCCACTCCAGCATGGACCTTTTTTTAAAGTCTTCATCGCAAACGGCCATGTACGAATTGAACTTGTCCAAACAAAACAGTCCTCTGTGTCAAATCCATTCTCGTCATGAATCCTTCATGAAACCCCGCCGCACTGGTTAAACTTTCACCACTCGATCGGCCACGGCAAGCAAGAACGGAAACAGCCACATAAGGACAATCATCTGTTAAGGCATGCCTTTGGCGTTGTAGACGGCCAATCGCACAGAAACAGTGCTCATCCACAAGAAAACAGCATACACTGCGGCTCCTGCACTCTCTAATAAGCGCCTCATGAAATAAAAATTTGTGTCGCGATTTCAGAGCACTGAAGTACCAAAAAAAAAAAAAAATGAATTGAAGGCAACAGTCGAGCACAAGTTCTACCGAGTCTTTGTCCGCAGGGAGAAAGGGCACCAAGCACACTGCACTTGAGATTCACTCACAATAACACACCAATAAACAAACCAAGGGCAGTGTGGAAATGGATTTATTCCATTCAGCAGCCCCAGCGGATCATAAAATACAAAAGGGGCCCAACGTAACGATGGTTCCTATCATGGCACCAAAAAAACGTCGTCCTTCCATTTCAGGATGGGAATTAAGGAGTTAGCTGCAAGTGCAGAAACTGCCTTCTCCACCCAGCACAGGACGCTGAGAAACTAGCCAACAGGCCAGAAAGAACAACATGCAGCAAATCGCTCTCAATATTCCGGTAATCCCTTCTCACGCCGAGTTATCGTCGCGGCCAACAAGTCCAGTTTGCGCGGTCCGCCTTTGTGAATTCACAAGCGCCATCATGATGAACAACCCACAAACATACCAAGGCAATCCATACGTGATGTCCTAAAACACCCTTGCAAAACCTCCCAACACCCTCTGCTCAGTGATGCAGATCGTTTCTGAAAGTAAAACCATTCGTGGTGAAGAAGCGCATCCCTCGTCAAAGGCACATCGCCCATCACCCGCGATGCTTGCGCCTCCAACGCCCTCCGCCCATTCGCCGAGAAGAAGAAATGATCACGAGCAACAGCAGCAGTGGCGTGCACGTCACACGCAGAGAATCCTAATCAACCAAGCAAGTGATATTGAGGTTCAATCCGCTGATGCCTCCGAAAAGCAATGGAAACATTGTTGGGCAGCAGATTTCTCGGACTAAACGTCATCCACACTTCAGCACATTTCGCGCCAAACATTCCCAAAAAACGCGTTTGGAGTGCGTGTGACAAACGCAAGAGCAAAAAAGAGATGGAGCACAAAAAAACACTGAACCCCCCAAAAAGAGCATTCTTACGTGTTCCCTCGCTTGCCCTCGCATGTCTCATTTCCGTGGGGCGGGCCTGTGGAATATGCGGGGGGCAGCCGGGCCCATCAAGGCGATTCCCATTCCCAAGCGTCATGACCCGCCGTACGCTCTCGAGCACAC